TGCCCTGCGGCCAAGGAGAAGCAGCGAGGAGGAAGCAGGGGTAGTGAGGGGGAGCCATGGGGACTTCCAGGGCTGACTCTCGCTGCCCACGTGGCTGGAGCAGCACAGAGGGGCTGGAGGTGGCAGAGGCGGGCTCCCTCCCTACCGCCCTCTAACTTGCTGCTTGGTTTCCCTGAGGCACGTACTTCACCCCCATTTTTACAAACCTAGCTGTTCACCCCGTTTGTGGAGGCCACTTGTTTTTTGGTTTGTTTTTGTTTTACTGTAATTTGGTTGAAAGCTTACGGAGCAAATTCACTTCCCATACAGCAGTTCCCATACACTTTGTCTTATGACATCGACCGCCATTTCCCACACTGTAGCAGCTCTCTTCCCACTTCCTCCCCATAGTTACCTCTTCCCTGTGTCCACCCCTTCGTGCACTCCTGCCCCCTGAGCTGTCTCCCTGTGCACACACTGCCCTGCTGGTCTCCATGATCACTCTCTCCCAAGGAGTGTATCTACATGATGTAAAGCTTCAGCTCATGTGCCTGTCTTTTGTTTGGCTGGAAGCCACAGGAGTGAGTTCAGTTCTAGACCTGAAGGGCAGCTAGGGGCCAGACTCAGTGTTCCAGCAGGCTCTATTAGACAACCAAACCTGGTCCCTTTTTCTTCTTAAAATGACTTTGAGTTTTGTTCCACACTGTTCTCCCGCTCTGTCCACAATCTCCTCCACAGACCCCCCTCCGAGGGGCTGACGGCTCCTGCAGTGTTCTCATGTGCCCGTTCCCGGATAACTGGGCATCAGTGACCCATGTGGGCGCCTGCCCCTCTCCTAACCTCTTCTGGACTCTTACGAAGGCTCATGCTTTCCCACAGGCATGTGGTGCGCCTTGGTGTTTTCAAGGCATCCCAGTACTCATGCAGCGGTCCACGCACATCTGAGATTTGCTGTGAGTCGGGGCCGACTTGACGGCAAATAACAACAACAACAACAACAAGGTGCATATGGGCCAGACCTCCCCACATGGAAGTCGTTGGCCCCCGAATTCCTCTGATGGATGTTTCTCCCTGATCAGCCATGTCTTTGGTCTCCTGACTGGCCCCCTCCTTGGGGACTAGAGTTTGGATATCGTCTTGGGCTAGTGACATTGAATCCCTTGGCTGGCCACCAATTTTCTGTGCGTGGACCAGTAGCTCTAAATCTGCCTTCAAATACCGAGGGGCCCAAAGGACCGAAGAAGAGCCCGACAGCTCCAGGTTGGTGACACAGGAGTTTATTAAGGGCTTACTTACGAGGTGACAGCCCAGGCAGCTGCTGGGCAGTGTCAAGTCTGGTGGGAGGCAGGGGTTTTGATGACTCAGTACCAGAGCCCCAGAGCTCCAAGCCACCCCAGCAAGTGTTACATAAGAGTGATTTAGCAAGTGGAAGTGAGCTAGCAGCAAGCAGGAGTGTCGCCATATTCAGCATCACAAAAGTCTGGTCCCTAACCCTTCTGTGGCCTCTTCCCTGTTAGGGGCTCTCGACTTTGAGGTCTGTTAGAAGCTCAGCTTCAGAGCAGTGGCCCTCTTCTAGATCCTTTGACACTGTTAGGTTGCCGTTCTCAAACAAACACAGGAAGCCTGCAAAAGGTCCTGTCTTGTAGTTGGCTTTCAGCTGCTTGGGCCGGCCACTTAGGTAGTTAGTGCCTGGATGAGGATGGAGTTGCATGGGATCATTGCACTTGGGTGGGTGACCTTGGCAAGGACTGTAAGACCAGCTGCGTAATTTGGGTGGAGTTTCTGGAGACAACCTCTGCGAGGTCCAGAAACTCCTGAGACCCGTATCAGGGCACCAGGCTGTCTGGGGGTCTTTGGGCGAGTGTTCATAGGGAAGTCCCAGTGCCTTCTGAGGTCCCTACAGGGCCCCTCCTTGGGGACTGGGGTTTGCATCTTGTTCAGG